GCAGGCCCCGGGGACGGGGCTGGCCGCGGGCGCGCTCCCTTCTCTGTGCTCCGGGAGAAGGCCAGGGGCGGTGCCGAGCCACCCTCGCCACGTAAACTTTAGCTGCGTTTTTTTCCTCCAGAAAATGTTTTCACGTTGTTGGATCTTGCAGAAACTAGGGCACTCGGAGGAAAACAGATGACGCGGCCCTGGCGCCTGTGTGGAGGCCGGTCCAGACTTCAGGGAGGAGCTGTTGACGGGGCTGGTCCTCCTGGGTGGTGATGTCTCCCCAGGGCTTTTTGGGGCGACATTGGGGGGGCTGCACCCCTCAGAAGCACCTTCTCTGGCGTCCTCTGCACTCCAGGCGGACGAGGTCCATTAGCGAGTGTCAGAGCAGCTGCCGCGAGGCTGGGCCGTGAGGAGGGAGGATCGACATGGACAGGGAGGATGGGCCAGCGCTGCTGCCGTCTCCTCCCCGGAAGAGCCTGCAGCTGCTGAGCTACAGCACCCCGCACTCTGTCCTTTGTGTAGGGGTGTCTGCTCCTTCACCCCAGGACCCAGCAGCGCCCCAGGGGACACGCACACGGGTCCCCCACACCAGAGGCTCTGCGACGAAGCGGGCGCCACCTGGGAGCACTCAGTCACTGGGGAAGCCGGAGACCCCACGCACAGCACACGCCCGGGAGGGTCCTCCCCCACCCGCCTCAGCCATGACGGGGAGGGGGTCAGTCACATGGAACGACCCCTCCCGTCCTCAAACACAGGCCAGCTGAGGGAAGAGCTAACTCCGGGGGCCGAGAACCCAGGCCCGTGTGAGGTCAGGGCCGCTTCAGCTCAGCGGAGCCTCACCTGGAGTGAGGCTCCCCACGTGCCAGCAGCCCGAGGCTATAGGTAGGGAGTGACCACGCCGAGCTGAGCTCCACACGTCAGTTCCTCATCCTCAGGAAAGCCCAACGCGGCAGCCACCGCTGTTCCCTGGGCATAGAGAGAAACCAAGGCAGGAGGGGAAGGGGAAGGGACCTGCCCGAGGTCCCACAGCTGGGGCGGGGGGCAGAGGGGCCGGGAGCAGAGCAGGCCCAGCCCGGGGGGGCCACAGCCTTGCAGAC